GGGGCGGTGTGCTGTCCGGAGAAGGTGTGTCTCGATCCGCGCTGCTTCGGCCGGCTCTCTCCTTTGCAGTCAGGCCAGAGAGATTCTCCACTGCCTGAAGGACAAGTACTTCAGGGAGCTGCAGGACCTGGAGGTAGACGGCCAGAAAGTGGAAATGCCGCAGGCGCTGAGCTGGTAAGCGAGCTGGACCTCGGCACGTTCCCGACACCGAGCTGGGCGGCTTGGTTTGAGTTACTCTTTTGCCTCTGCCCTTTTTCCTTCTCTTTTCCCCCAGGTATCCGGAAGAGTTAGCATGGCACACAAACTTGAGTAGAAAAATCTTACGCAAGTCGCCACAACTGGAAAGGTTCCACCAGTTTCTGGTTAGCGAGACAGAATGTGTAAGTTTTGGATACATGGGTGGTGTTTTTTTTTTTTCTTTCATATGCTAAGCAGTGTTTTATTGAAATGCATTATGAGAAACTGAGACTGTACCTTTTCTCTCAGAAGCTGAATAGCTCAGAAGAATCTGGTTTTTATGTTGCTGTTGGCAGTGATTCATCCTACGGCTCTGCCACATAACCACAGCTACAGATATTTCTTTTGAACTACTGCTTTTTTGTCTGTTTGCTTGAGAATGTGAAAAGGAGTCCCTGTAAAATAATAATTACTTGCTGTTAGAACACAGATGTTTGAGTTTTGTGGAAAGTGCACGTGTGTACATACCAAGGCTTACTTACAGGGACGGATGTTTCTCACTTGGTTGAAGCTAGTTTCTCTTGTCTCGAGCAGAAACTACATCCGTAGAATGAATAGAATTGGAGTAAATACGCAGTTTTCTGAAATTTCAGTTGAATGAAATACTGTGATTTTCTTCGTTAAATGCTAACAAAATTTAATGTGAAGTTTACAATACTGTATTTTCAATTGCCGTAGCATTTTACTACATAGACATCTAAAAAATACTGCAAAAGAAACGCATTCTTTTGGAACGGAATAAAAAGAGGTTTGTTTTGGTTATATTTTTTTTTGCTTTCAAGGGAAATATCAGTCGTCAGGAGGCTGTTAGTATGATCCCACCTCTGCTGCTTAATGTTAAGTCTCATCATAAGGTAAGTCTGGGATATACTGTGTGTTAGAGTTTTCCTTTGAAAATAGTTTGATTAAACTATGAATTACCACAGCAGTATCAGTGCTGATAGACAGTTCTGTTTTGCATTTGTATGTTTTAAGCTTTCTGCATGTAAATCACAGCAATTGACTAGTTTTCAGAACCCAAATAGACTGTCATGGGAACATCTGCTTTTTTGGCTATATCTAATACCCTGTAAAAAAGAAGAAGCCTTAGGTTTTTAAGTCATTATATAATCTTACTTTCAAAGCGCAAATGTATTTAGTTGCATCTAAGTTACATGTTCTTATTTCAGCCCCCTTTTAAAGTAAGGTGATTGTTTTTACCTTCCTGCTGTCTGCCACACTGTGAACAGATGTAGTTTTCCAGATCCAAGTGGTATTGTTCTTTACAGTGAGGTTTTCAACCCTCTGTGCCTTTTGAAGAAGTTGCAAACTTCTGCTCTATAAACCTGTTAGGCAGAATAATTTAGGTGAGCTAAAACATGCTGTTGATGGTGGCTAACGAGTATAGATTGCTGTCTCTAACTGGGGCATCTTAAGAAATGCCCATGATGTTTTCTAATGGCAGCTTGTAGGAATAATGTAGAATCCTAGGAAAAGCTGGTGGCAAAGTTAATGAGCTAGTTAAAAGTGCCTTGCTATCTCAAGCAACCAGGTGCACTTCTTTCTTAAATTTTTCGTGACGTTCTAAATATTTCAAATGCTTTATCTTCAAATTCTAAGATTTAAAAATTTTGACCTGTATGTGTTAGATGACACAAGGCTGATGGCTCTCTTACCTGATGCGACATCTTCTTGCCTCTTAAATGAATAATTAACTGAGGGATAGGTTCAGTCCGAATGCGTAAAGGCACATTTTGCGTTTTGTCTGGGGTTGAACAGGTAGCGAATGTGTTTCACTTAACATAAAACATAAATTGTGAGAATGTTTTTGCACACACCTTACTTGTATACTGCTATCTTAGTATACACAATGTGTTTTTTGCATCGAATGTTTAGCTGCGGTGGCCGTTTCAACGAGCACTTTCCAGAAACACCTATGAATTTCACAAACTTCCTCATAAGTTAGGCTCAGAATAGGTTCTTTATCCTCTCTTGTGACAAGACAGCTGTCACAATGCCTTGGCTGTTGTCATTTAGGACCTTTTATGGTTCTTAGTGCCTTGTTTTCTGAGCTGCTTGTTATGACCAGGATTGAGGTTACTTTTCGTGCTTAACCAGCATGTTCTGTACATTGTGTCTTACATGCTGATTCCTGCCTTGGGCAAGGATCAGCTTGATGACTGTCAAACCTCTCTGTAGTTGTATTCATTTTTAATCTGTTTTTTACAATTCAGTTTTCCCTCACCATCCATTTGCTGGACAATTTTAGAGCATGTTTAGGTTTGCTTATTGTTCATTATCTTCTGCATTACCTACAAAAGTAAGTAGACACGGGTATCATCACAACTGTTACTTTAAACAGTGGATGTGATGCTCCCTGAGTATGTCTCATGCCGTGTTAACACTGCTGCATGGCAGAGCTTGTCGCGTGCTCAGTAAACGTCACGTGTCGGCAAATGCTCCTTGCATTTCTCTGGGGTCTGTCTTCCAGTTTAGTCTTGTTCGTGGCAGGGGCTTGCATGAAGATCCGAGCACATCCTTGGATCCTGTTGCATGATTTCAGCTTTTACTGGAGCTAAAGGTCCAGAAGATAGATGGTCATACGTTTCTGAAAATCTGTAACTGGGCAAGAGAAAAGACTCTTAAGCTTCCCTACTTAACAAAACAGTGTTAGCTGTCAAATGGTGTGCTGTGAAAGTGACTCTGTGGCTGACTCAATCACAAAGCAAGTTTGTGATGAACCAGAAGGGAGAAATACGCTAAAAATCGGGTGTTGGTGTCTGTGCTGTTCTGTTCTCCTGCCCGATGTGGGTTTAGATAATTCTCAGGTACTTCTTCCAGGATATAGGAACAAGCAGTTTATGCTGCCCTGGTTTATTTGCATTAAAATGCAAATGTGTGAGGAGGGACAGCAGTTCATTTTTATAAAATCTGTATGATCAACTATGTCCTATAGTCTTTGATTAATTTACTGATAGTTAAAGTACAGCTTGCTCTTGAATGTAACTTTTCCTTTAATGCTTGTCTGTATAAGTTCCAGTGAACTTAATTTGGGATTGCTTGTGAGCTGATAAAAGGACCATATCCTCATATCACCTGATGTATTTGTTCCCTGCAAACCAAAGTCCTTGTTAAATGCTCAGACAGAAAGCTGCGTTCCGTGATGCGTACAAAGAACAGAACTGTACTTTGGGGTTTTGCCAATTGGTGTTCATATTCTGCAATTGTTGATTTAAACAATAACGCATGGTAAATAAAAAGGTAGGGCTTTGGTGTTTTAACTTTCTGGTGTTTGTAGATTCTAGATATGTGTGCTGCACCTGGATCTAAGACTGCACAACTCATTGAAATGTTGCATGCAGACATGAATGTTCCTTTTCCCAGTAAGTCTGGAAAAACTACCAAAAACTTTTGTGACTTTAAGTTTCCTCTTGTAGAAGGTTGCTTTTAATATCCAAAAATAAGTAACTGCATTTAACAACATCTTGAATTCCTAAAGTAGCAGAGTTATATGAGATGGGAAGTACTCCACCTTTTCCTTGAAACTCTGCGGGCTTCCTAGGCTGGAAGGAGAGAGATGGATTATAAATCTTCGTAGTTCAGACTGCAGTAGCTCCGATCAGAGCTTAATACTAGATGGTGGTCCATGAGCCCTTGTGTTTTAGTGGTATCCTGCAAACACTGGATTAAGCTGCTTTAGCCTTAAAATGATCATGATATTTATATTTATTTTTCAAGTTTCAGAATCTTTACTTTTAGTCAGATGCTTACAGAAAATACTGTCCATAAAAAATTGTGAAGTTGCTGGGAGTGGATTCTTTCGGTGTTCTGCTGAAAACGTGCTGATTTACAGAGATGGTCTTTGGTAGCAGTGGAGGTTTTCTCTGTTGCAAGGGTTTTACTTTGAGAATGAAAAGCGGAAGGGGCTCTTGGATGTGTCTTACTTCTGCTGCATGCAAGCTAGAACTCTTGAGATGATATTTTTGACATGTCAGTTAAACCTTGACATACTTTATGTTATTTTATGTTCAGCAAAGGGTCCTCTATTCATAAATAGTCTTTTAAGTAAAAATTTCTAGTGAAAGGTTTACCCAACTTTGAAGATAAGACAATAAACTATGTAAAATTATTTAGCTGTTGAATAACAAAGTATCTTCCCACTATTTTTTGTTCCTAGAGGGTTTTGTAATCGCTAACGATGTCGACAACAAGCGCTGCTACTTGCTGGTTCATCAGGCTAAGAGATTAAACAGTCCGTGCATCATGGTAGTAAATCATGATGCCTCCAGCATTCCTAATGTACAAATAGATGTTGATGGAAGAAAAGAGGTCCTCTTCTATGACAGGATTTTGTGTGACGTCCCCTGCAGGTATTTTGCATGTAATCTTCAGTACACAGATTTTACTGTACAGAGTGCAGTGCTACAATTTGTATGTCACCGAGTTACGCTTTCTGAGTTGCTTAGTGAGCTATGATTTATAGTAACTTCCAAAACAGGGGAATGCCTTCAGCTGTCTGAAGTAAGGGGATACCAAGTCAAGATGAACTTTTTTCATTCCAAGTGGTTCTTAAATTTGGTCAGCTGAAGGGCTTTGAATTTTGAACTGACACTCAGGATAGGGAAGTACAAAGGTGGTGTAGAAACAAACAGTACAGCACAGGAGAACTGGTTTACGTGGGAGAGAGGGACTGTTAGCTTTTTGCTGCTATAAACAACTTGGACATGAAATAAATTTTGCCCACAAATAATTCAAATTTGGTCAACCTCTGTTACAGTGGAGATGGAACCATGAGGAAAAACATTGATGTATGGAAGAAGTGGACAACACAGAACAGTTTGCAGCTCCATGGGTAAAAATGCTTATTACACATCTGCACTTCTTTCATTTCTCTCTCCTTCTTTTCCCCTGTCTTTAACATCTGCATGCATTCACATGTTAATATATTTAAAAGAATATGAGAGACGAAGAAGAGATGCTTTTCTCTCAAATCAGGAGCTTATGTGCTATTCAGAGTGTGTTTCAGATGTGACATCAACCTCCAGCGGAGTGTGTGAATATAAATTTCTTGTATTCTTATGAATATCTGACGTATTAATATCGATTGAATTAATTTAGCCAAGGTAGCTAATAAAACAGGACAAATCATTTGGTTGGGACTCTTAGCATGTAGGTAGGTAAAATACTGTTAGACAATACAAAAACTTGTAAAATTTAGTAGTCATGTTGTAGTATCTTTAGAATGTTAGGGATCGTACGTAAATCAGTCTCAGGTAACTGAAACTGTTTCTGGTAACCGATAGTGAATGGGTACTTAGCCTAGTGTGGGTGCCTGCTAAAAAGCAGTAGTTAAAACACAGATGAAAAAGCGTAGAACATTTTACTGTGTATTTGTAAGGAGCTGGGAATGCAGTCAGTTATTGTGACTCAGCTCTCCTGTGGTAACTCATTCATAATGACAGGTTTCATCTCAGTTGTAAGTATGCGGGTAGGGGGTAAGCTGGTGATCCAGCTTGGTGGTACTTTTCTCAGAAGGCCAATGCTGTTGTCTGTAATATTTGTAATAGTCAGATTCCTCCTCGTTTTATCTCTATGTTTTGGAGAAGAGTAGTAAGGTTTTGAGGGCTTATTTTTCTAGTGCTGATAAACTCGATAGGGCACTAGAAAGAACAAAATAGAGAATGTTATGTTAGAAGCTGTCATGCAGCAGTGTTAATGTTTGACCTAACTGCTGTTTTAATGGGGTGTAATTGTGAGTGTGTCTGCAGTGTAGGCTGCACTAAGCCAACTTGTTTTAAAACTGACTCCAATTTGTGTGCTCGCGACCGCTCTGGAACTCGGCACATGCTGACTTAGTCTGTGGAGAGTTACGTGTCTGCAACGTAGCTTCGCCTGTAAGAAATTCGATGGCAAATCTTTCTAGTGCCTGAATGATACCTGGCTAGACCAAGAGTCTTCTGTTAGATTGCAGTTAAGAATTGCAACCCGTGGTGTTGAGCAGCTGGCAGAAGGTGGGAGAATGGTGTATTCTACGTGTTCGTTGAATCCGATCGAAAATGAGGCTGTGATTGCATCTCTGCTGGAAAAGAGTCAAGGTGAGAATGCGAACTTGGGCAGAGTGGGGAAATACTTTTTTTTTTTTTTTTTTCTCAGCCCCAAAAAAGGGTTTGTATATGATAATACTAGTAATAAGCTTAGTGTAGGTAACATGTTCGTGGTATGCAAAACTGCAGCAATATTTTGGTACCATTAGGATTTCATTGGAGTTGATAAAATTAATCTTCTTAAATGGGCCTAAATCAGGTGCAAATACAAAACCTGAAGAAGTTCTGTTAATGATACACAAACGACTTCTACAGAAGTGTGGCATTCAGTCTGTGTTACCTGGCTTCTGTTAACTGATTCCACTGGTTGGCATCCCTGTCTGACATTCGTATTTCCTTTGGAAGACACGGCGTGAGACATTACTACTTACTGTACAGCATAGGAGTACAAGACCCAGAGCGTACTTCAGTAGTCAGAGGAATGTTACTGTGCACCAGTAGGTGGGAGTCACCGATACCTTTGGCATCCTTTGACCCACATTTTGACATGCTTGGAATTTTAATGTCTTAAAGCTTGTGGGTTTTTTGTTACACTTTGAGTTGCATATGAAGGCTTGCAAAAGTTGCTGTTAAGTCTCCATTGTGTGAAGTAAGATGGGGTGGAAAAATTGAGATGAGCTGAGAAGCTCCACTGCATGAATTTATTGATTGTAGGGCTTAGTAGCCCACATTTCTGGTCTTGAGCTGATAGACACTGGTTTTTTTCTCGTCAGTAGCCTGAATTCGGGAGACATCTAATTGCATTTTGCATGAAAAGTTCCATGGAGTTTGTTAAATTGAGCCTTGTACAGAGCAGAGGCGCCTGTATTATTCCTGGACCTGAACTGGTTCTGGAAGTAGACTGGCATGTTTTGTGCAACGTTTTCTTTGTGCCAGTCACTATTCAGGCCCCAAATGATTAATGAAATTTAATTGTCTCTCAAACACCAGTTTAGCTACAATGCCCACAGATAATTAGGAATTGACTGTTTCATTTCCACTCAAAGGACTTTTTCAGTTAGAGGTAGGTTTTTTTGTCAGACGGAGTGAAAAAACAACATAGATACATTTCCAGTAAATTACCTGGAATAAGCCAAATATCCTTGGCTTATTGAAGACTACAGTGCACCAGAGTTAAGTTTAACAATGACAAGATTGGAAAGCAGTAAGGACTGGTTTGGATGGGAGCACGAGGCGGTACGGATGTTGATGGTCAACAATTACAGTATTTGGTGCAGCTTCAGTTAACTGGAAGTAAGGATCTTGCCTGCAATATTGGGCTGTGGCATTTGGATCTTGTCTGTGCCCAGTGGGGGTATTTTGAGGCTTACCTGGAGGCTACGACATGTCCCAGCAAGTGAACGTTGTCCTTGGGGCTTTAATGTAGGTGTAGCTAAAGAAGGGTGAGGTAGTGGAGTGGTCTGCAAGGGCCATTGGATTGTGAGGATTTGCTCAGGTGTGTCCAGAAGGTTTGTTAGTTCTTCAGTCTTAGTTACCAGCACTGTGTTACAGTGCTACTTGTGGAGGAGATCAGATTGCTTTCCCCTCAGGGCTGAAGGAGTAGGGAAAAGGCACTTCTGTACCATATTTCTCTGCTGGGGATTGTAGTACTTCCGACGGCTGATCAGTCTGATCGAGTCTTGAGGCATCAGTTGAAGTCATGCTGTAGGTAGGCAAGAATATTCAAAAGATGGGTGCAAACATCAAGTTTAATCAGATTTGAATTGGCACTTGGGAATTTGTCTATGAATGCATGTGACACTATTTAAAGATCTTGCTGAAACTGTCACTGCAAGAGTAAAAGGTTAGTCATGCAGAACAGGTTGATAAAATTGTGTGCAGCATGAGGAAAAGCCTACCTAATTGTCAAATAGCAAGTAAGTATTCAGAATCACAGCGGAAGAAATTTTAAGGTTATTACTTAGATAGATCACCTTTTAAAAAGTAAGTTCTTGTATCATTCTTTCCAGACTTGGGGCAGTTTAAAGTCTTTATTCAGTAGATTAAATTATACTCTGTTGATGTTTCTTATAGTAAGTTTCTTTAGTATATTTTAAGCACAGAACCTTTTGTCCTGTCAAACAGTTCAGAATTTCCCTTTCCATTTGAAAAATAATAAATTATTTTTCCTCTCACCTTGGAATATGTTAAGACTGTAAGTCCATAAAATCAGAATATATCAAGCATTTTTTAAAAGGCTTAGTTGCCCCAAAAGAATACTTGTCTGAAAAATACTTTAAGTGTAGTAAATCCAAATGCTAAGTGAGAATAAAAACAACTGTGACTGCAACACTGATGTGTAACGATACAGATTGTAGAGTGTTACTCTGTGCAGCTGCTACAAAAAATGATGGACTCGTAGAATGGTTTGGGTTGGAAGGGACCTTAAAGATCACCTAGTTCCAACCCCCCTGCCACGGGCAGGGACACCTTCCACTAGACCAGGTTGCTCAAAGCCTCATCCAGCCTGGCCTTGAACACTTCCAGGGATGGGGCATCTCCAGCTTCTCTGGGCAACCTGTTCCAGTGCCTCACCACCCTCTCTGTGAAGAACTTCTTCCTGATATCTAACCATTACATTTTGGTTAATTTATATGTTGCAAACTTCTGTAGTTATTATGAAAATTATCTTTCTTGTTAATTTGCATGGTAGTGATGGTATGACATTTGGTTCTTGAAAGGTTTAAAAAGCACTGCTCTTAAGTGGCCTTAAAACTTGAAGGGAACCTATTTTTATGAGTGTTCATTAGGAGCACAACTCTCAAATTCTGGTTTCAATAATGTTTATTTTCTTGGGGTTTCAGGTGCCTTAGAACTTGCTGATGTCTCTTCTGAGTTGCCAGGTTTGAAGAGGATGCCAGGAATTACAAAATGGAAGGTACTTACATGATATTTCTGTGGAGTTCTTAGTCTACCATAGAGTATTAAATTAATCACAGACTGGTTTGGGTTGGAAGGGACCTTAAGGGTCATCTAGTGCCAACACCCCTGCCATGGGCAGGGACACCTTCCACTAGAAATCAAGGAAATGTTGAAGTGTAAAATTTGGAAACATTAGATTGATCTGAAGTAATGGTAGTGATTTGCTGTTTAGAGCTGTAGACAACATGGCATTGTAGGGGAGAGGGCTAAAAATCTTTCTGATGGTAAGTTCTTGTCTCATCCTCTTTCTTCCTCTAGCCTTGTCAGCTCGATTTCCTGTACTTTCTTAATGTAATTCCCTTTTCCATTGCGTGCAGCTGGTGGCCTGTAGATGGCAACATAATTTCAGCCACTTTGTAAGTTATCCCTCCTCTGTCTTTACAGTCTGTGAGTTTTAGAGCCTACGGTTTTCAGCTGATCCATTTGAATCATTTGGAAGTAAAAGCTGTTAAACCTTTCTGGAAATAGGCTATTAAAAATGGAGTTATGTGAGTAATCCTAGAATATAAATAGAATCCTGTGTTTTGCTCCAGGCCTTATGCGGTTTCAGTTCTGGAAACAGACTGGTAGGGAGGGATTAAAAACCCCAGAGCTTCTTCAGCTTCCTGTTACGAATATAATCAAGAGGAGTAGGCACCCAAGAATCTCCGACTGGATTTTAATTACGGCTGCGTGCCTTTGCGGCGCCGTCGGTTGCTCCGTCTTCTTCTCACCGTTTCGCTGCTCACTTGCAACGTCTGCAGGCGTGTGCCTGTGTGTAGGCTCGTGAACAAGATGCGTGGAATAAAGATTTGCTTATGTCCTGTCATGGGAAATCCATCTTAGAAACTAGTTGATCTCTTTCTTACAGTTCCAAAAGTTTAAATCTGGCCCTTGTACCTGAAGGGTGAACGTGAAGTGCGTGATTGTGGCTCCATAATCTTAATTTCTTTATTTTTTTTTGGTACTGTGTAAGGCTACAGAATATATTCATAAAGATGACTAAGGATATATTGTATTCCCTGTAACATTTATTTCTGCATTTGCAGTTGAAATACAGCTTCCTAATGGGTGTTTTAAAAAGTAGCCTAATAAATTTGGTTGAAAGTTAGCAAGATTTTCTTCAGCCCTCGTTTGCTGCTGCCATATTACTTTCAAGCCTCATTGGCTAGCTCCTCATTCCTTGCTTTGGTGCTGTTTTTACTTGGTATGGTCCCTTGTTTCCTGGTGAAACATCTGTTCAAGGGGAGCTCTGTGACTTAGTGATTACACTGAATATTCCTCAGCATCAGTTTACTGTGAATGTCAGGAAACAGCAATATAAAAATAAGGTTTTGTTCAAGGGACGCTTATGTGCTTGGAAATAGCATCCAGTACTCTCTCCTGAAGCCAGACAATGAATGAACTCAGAGGAGTTATTTTAGAATCTTGAAGGAAGAGACCTTTTTAACTTCAGATGTGTTAATCTACTTCTGCAACAATTTTAGTCTTCATTCTGCCCTAGCCAGAGGCCAGCAAAACGCTCAGTAGAGAACACTTCAGCGTGTTCTTTGATGCTTTGTCGTTCCAGCAGTTAGGCGCTGTGGTTAGGCTGGTAAACCAGAATCAAACAGAGCAGGGCTGTTAGGCAGTTACTGTAGCACATCCAAAACAGTTCTAGACTTGTTTGTTTGTACTTCCACTTATTTATCAGTCCCGTTGTTTGTTCCTCTCAAGCTGAACTCATGACCTCTGGAGCGGAGCAGTTCACAGTCAGGGTCTGTTGTGTCTCCGTCTGGCAATACGACATGGAGCTTATTTGGACTTGAAATACTAATTCTGGAAGTACAGTCACTTCTATTTTGGGAACATGCAAAAGCACAATATTTTAGGTGTGATCTGATCAGTGGCTGAGAAATGCCAGACTTCGTGACGCTGAAACCTGTGTTCTAACATTCTTCCTGAAATTGTAATTGAGAGAAATCTTTCGTTTCAGTTTCCAGTAGAACAGTTAATTAAACCTTCAAGACAATCGCAGTAAGATGTATGAGAACACTTCATCGTATTTGCCAGTCCTGAAGTCAGCATCGCTATGACTTCTCTTTTGTTGCCTTAACAACAAAAACGGGCCTTCATTTCAGTCAATTTTATGCGTCTGCCCCACACATTCCTGGATGTGACCTTTCTTACAGCCCTAGTGTCCAGTACAGAACGAGGCTCCTGGAGTTCTGAACTCAAGTGTTCCCTGGCTGGGTTTTTTTCTACCCCCACTTTGATATTCTTGCTTAAAGAGCATTCAAAACACCTTGCTACGGGAGTTGTGCCTCTGACCTTCCGCGCTTCTATCTTAAGGGTCCCTTGAGCTTTGACCCTTAGATGGAATGAGGTGATGCTACGTCCACACGGTACCTTAGAGTGGATTTATAGGTGTGTTCTGAGCCCTGGATAAAGGTACAGGTGGTAGAAAATTCATGGGTACATGGTTCTTCAGTAACTGTCCTTGCAAACATCTCTGTCTTACGACCTGTGTAGGGCAGTGTGATGGCACTCGCCGCCTATTGTGTGGCACTCTTGCGTCTTTCTTACATAACGAAATTGGGATTCCTCATTTCTAATCTCCACTGGACTGCAGTAGCCCTTTTCCTTTGTAGCCTGCTTTGGAAGCTGCCTAGAATGGAATGTCTCACAGCCAGTCTCATGCAGAAAAAGAAATAATGTGTCCTAAATCTGATGGCTTACTGATCTTCTTGTATGTTCCACCACTGTCCTTCCTTTAGATTTTGGTGTTCTGTATGTTCCTGGAAGGTTAACGGAGATCGCTGCCATTGATTCGGCACCAGTCTTGACTGAACCGTTTTTGATCCATAAAAAGTGGAGCAGAGAGGTACAGCTGGCAAGAATCTCCTGCTCTTAGGTGCACATTGGAACAATGCACTTTAAAGAACTTAGTTTACTCTACCAGAAATTACTTAATTTACTATAATTTTACTATACCAGAAAAGAACTTGTCTTTTTGGCATCTGAACCTTGGTTTGAAAGTACCCTAATTAAAACTTGTAGAATGGTGGCCCATATTCTTCACAGTATTTACATTTACTCCTTTGAAGGTCATGCTGAAAGATGGACAGTGGTTCGAAGACTGGAAAGATGTGCCTTCAAACAGACAAACACAAATACGTCCCACTATGTTTCCAGTAAAAGATGAAGAGAAGCTGAAGGCAATGAATCTAGAGCATTGGTAAGTTTTCCCAGAGCAGGTTTCATGTGGTTTTGATAGCTGCCTTGTATGGTGGTGGGCAGATTATAATTAAGGGGCCAGATTAGGAATGTTTTGCAATATAGACCTATGCTTGTATAGGTCTGACTATATTTTGATTGCTTCCTACATAATGGCAGTACGCAGTATTTAAATCCCAGTGAACTGAAAGAAAGTACTGAATGTTGCTTACAAGGAATAAGTACTCACACAAACAGCTCAAATTCTTTGCATCCAGTAGAGGTACCTAGCCAAAATTACTCGAGAAGTATGTAAAACTTTGATATTTTAACAGTGTGACTTATTTTCTATGAAAGACTTTCCATAGCTCTTCTAAAAATAGTGTGTAGCAATGAGTCATTAAAGCTGAGATGTGAATGGTGAAATGACTACATTGCACTGAAGCAACTTACTTTGCCAGAATGCTCTATTTTAGACCCTGTTTCTAGAGTGATAAATTAAATCTGTGCAATCCTACTAGGAATACTTAGTTTACCCTGAGAGTAAATATAAATGTAAGACTTGTAGTACTTTGTGAGAGCCTGAATGCTGATCCTGAATACATCACAACATTTTTACTTTATTTCCACACCCCACCCCCCCCGCCCCAGTCTTAGGATATTGCCACATCATCAGAACACGGGAGGTTTCTTCGTGGCTGTGTTAATTAAAAAATCTCCAATGCCGTGGAATAAACGCCACCCTAAGGTAACATCTTTTAAAAAAGCTAAAGTGTAAAATGTTAATAGCACTTCTGGAATTTTTTTTTTAAGTTTACATAATAGGAAGCATCCTATAAATGTTTTGTATCTGCCCTTCAGATATAGTTCACTGTGTCAATTAAAAATAAACTTATGAATTCCTTTAAAAGCCCTTTAAAAAAAAAGAAAAACAAGCTCCTTTCAAAATAGGGAAACAAAAGAAGGGAGGGGATTTTGAAATCGTAGTAAAATAGCAAGTTAAAACCTGAACCTAAAATTAAGGCTTGGAAACAATTTCAGAAGCAGATTAGGTTGAGGAGCTAAAGCTGTCAGTTCCTTCAGCTGTGTGTGGTCCCTCTGCTGAAGGCTTTTTTCCGCTGTGTTGTAAGCTAATTCTGATTTCAGTTTATCTTGCTCTGTGGCTGGTTGCTCAGGAGTGATTCAGTAGCAGATTAGTCTGGCAGATCAGCAGCAGGGGGAATGGACGTAAAACTGTTAGGAGCAGCAGCAGCTTCAGCCATCTGACTTTAATCCATTTGTTGTCAATTGTCTTTTAAAATCCCATCAACAGGATTCTAAGTTGACGTGCTTTATTTGATCTCTTAGATTGCTCATCTCTTTGAGGGAAACTTTGTGTGTGAATCCCTTTTAGCTGTTTCTGTTTATTTGATTAGCTTCATTAGAACGCCTTGTGAGTAAAATGTATGTGGCAGTAAGGAAAAAGCATTTATTCAGAAGCAAGAGTCATCCCAATAGTTTATGCTGTTCTAAGTTTAATGTTGTAGCACTTTTATAGAAAGTGTGCAGCAGCAGGATGCGTGTGCCGCCTTGAGTGCTAGAAAACAGCACATCCTGACTTAAATTAGACGGTGAGTGCTTGAACATAATGTTGTAAATGGTACAAAAATAGCTTTCTTGGACAGCTGGTAAGAAATTGTCCAGGGCAGTAGTAATGGTACACACATCTTACAATGGTACCTTGACTAAGCAATCTGATTAACTTCCTAAACGTTCTGTCTAAGCACTTACATACAAATTGGTAAGAATTAAGCACCTGCAGAGAGAGAACACAGATACTTTTTGTTACAAGACTACTTTTGCTCGAAACAGGTTCATCAGAAGTTCCCACAAGGAACAGGAGATTCTGAAGTGACAGCAGCTCATTCAGATAATGGTTCTGAATGTATCACTGAAGAACCAACACTTGCTGAGAATGAAGAGTCTAAGAAAACGCAAGAATCGCAGAATTCGGACACCGAGCAAAGCAAAAAGGAAGGAGTATGTGGGTAAGAGACCATGTCTGAGTATTTGTCCTGTGACAGCTTCATAATTGCTGAGTCTTCTGGAGTTCTGTTGTTACTGGGCTCATTCAGAAGTCGATCAAGAGGAATTGATGAACTTGCTCGGTTGTCCTGCATTTCCATGTTTTCTGTCTTTTGTAATTCAGTGAATTAAGAAAATAATTGCTTTTCTTACTAACATTTGCCAAGTCTGTTAGTTCTTTCTTTTCTGTTAAGGAAAAACCTACTTTCAGAAGTTAACCTTTGGAACATCTTTACTGTCTTCACAATTACACCCTCAGAAATCTCTGTTTACTTGGTTTTGTGGTTTCTGATTTCAAGCGCTGCTTCACTTCCTCATTTTAAGGAGTTAAACTGTGGGTAGTGTTGTCTTAGTGAAGCACAGAAAAATGTCAGTATTCTGTTTGGTGTACTCTCGTTATCATAAGGCAAGTGTTGGCTAAATGAACTAAATAACACTGATTTTAAACCAAGTGCTTTTACTAAAATTGACAGTGCAATTGTATTTTCTTTTTAGACCACCACCATCTAAAAAAATGAAGTTGTTTGGTTTTAAAGAAGACCCTTTTGTGTTTCTCTCTGAAGATGATCCATTGCTTCTTCCTATCCAGTAAGGAAAAAAAGAAGTGTTTGTTTTGGCAGTAAGATTTCTAGTATTTCAGGAATATTAATAGTTCAGTTCATCACAAAAGATGGGTCTAGTTGTTCATACGTAAAACTTTTTCCCTAACTTTGCACCAGGTGCTCCTCTCCTCAAGACTTAAGCTCTTCTTAAATGAAATCAGCCAGCTATAGTTTGCACTGGGCGTGCCTCAGTGTCTGTGACAGCTTGTCTTTTCTGATGTCGTGCACCTTAGGAAGTTTAATCTTTGTGTTCTGGAGCCAAAGTGTTAAGGGTTTGCAGGGACAGCTCGAGGAAACGGGCTTAACCCATGCTTTTTGAGTATGTGATTTCATTGTTCAGTTAATCAACACAATATTACGGCCACAGGAAGTTTTACGCATTGGACCCGTCGTTTCCCAAGATGAATTTACTGACTCGAACTCAAGAAGGAAAGAGGAGACAGCTGTACATGGTTTCTAAGGAGCTACGGAATGTGCTTCTGAACAACAGCGAGAAGATGAAGGTATGGTTCACCTCTCCACGTTTTTATAGCGGAGATCATAAGCATCAGTGGATGACTTCTAGGACTTTATTGCCAACCTTATTGTTTCTGTAGAGGATTATCCCTCTGGTAGGCCTTTTTTTTTAGTCTGAATGAATGTTTTCCTCGATCACTCCTCCCATTAAAGTGATGAAGAGTTGTCTCTGAAAGGTAAATTACAATCTCCAGGGTGAAAATCACTATGTTTATCGGCAGATGGAAGGGAACTTAAAAGTAGAGGAAGGGAATATGTAATGTGGTTAATATGCTGTGTGGGTACCAGCATTGTGATGTGGCCTTCACGAGTTTACATCGACACTGTTGTATTTATGAGCCCCTCAAGTACGGAAACATTCGGAGCTTGGACAGCGTACCAAGAATACCTTCAGCTGAAGGTAACTTCAGCTGAATTATTAGCTGTGTTACATGGGGACATTGTTTCAAAGTCCTTTCAAGAACTGAATGTTCTGAAAAGCTTTTAAGCTGAATGACAATGGGATAAGTAGTTTTTGTGAGTTAAAGGGAAAAATGGAAAATGTCTTGCAAATGCTAAATATTCTTTTAAAAGATGTTGAATGGTTTGTTAGAATGAGGCCATCTAGTCCAGCTTTTTTCCTGCCCCAAGCAGGGCAAACTTCTAAGTTGGATCAGATACGGTTCAGGGCCTTATCCAGTCAAATTGTGAAAATTTCCAAGGATATTCATTACATCTGTTCAACAAGTCTTTGAGATGGATAAACAATTCTTTTATCTCACATGCAGGAAATGACTACATAATTGACAAAATTTTAGGAAACTGCTGCATTGTATTAGGCAGTAAGACTTTGAGTGCCAGTATTCCATGTCAGTGTCCTAATATTAGGCGCTTGTGCGTTAAATACCATCCTTGACTGACTTTCCCAGAATCACACAGAAAGTTCTTACTCAAGCTGAAGTTAAAATTAGTTCGTAATTGTTCATCACCCTCATTTTAAGACTAACGCTTCCTCACAGTGTTCAGTTTTCAGCACGGAAAGGAGTAAAAAGTGTTTGTGTTGAAAGAGAACTGTATTTTGGTAGTGGGAATTCCTTTTTCCCCTTGAATGAATTTTCACATGAATTTAATTCAGTGTCCAGTGCAAATGAACAAACATTATGCCAGAATTACCCTTTCTTCCTCCTTTCAGTCAAACAGTTGAGGGGGGGGTGTGAAAGTTCAGAGTAGTAATTTAGAGTCTGTACTCCTTAATGAAGCTCATTATTGGCTTTGCCATTTGCAGGTTATTAACACGGGGATAAAAGTCTGGTCTCGCAACAGCGACGGGGAACAGTTTGGATGTGCGTTCAGATTAGCACAAGAGGTAATTAATGTAGCGTTGTATTTTCAAAGGAGGTGCTTTGGGTTTCTCTAGAGCCTGTAGCACAGCTGGCATTAACTTCTTCAGGGTAATGACAGTTTGCCTTTTCAGTATGGTTTAGAATGTGAACATTCTTTTCTGATGTTAGCTAAAGGACATGCTGTTTTTAACATTATTCCTTCAGAAGGTAGAGATTGCATTTTGAAATAATTATATTTACTTATTAAACAGGGAATTTATACTCTGCATCCATTCATTCATGCAAGGATTATAAATGTCTGCATAGAAGATGTTAAAATTCTGCTAACCCAGGAAAATCCATTCTTAAGTAAATTCAGCAGTGAAACACAGAAGAAAGTTAAAGACATGGGTAAGCCTTCTAATTCGTGCTATGACCGAATAATTATTGTACAGCACACTGAAGACACTGAAAATCGTGTCACACAAACCGTGCTTGATAAAAATGTTGACTAAATTTATGTTAAATATAATTGTTAATTGGGTTGAGCATTACTGAAACCCAGTGTGCCGCTAGAAACTGCGGTCCTTTCTGATCACAGCCTGTTAGTTTTATAAACCCCAGAGAACGGAAGAGTTGCCAGACTCGTGACTTCTCTGAAGCAGTGCTGTGAGGCAGCATTTGAAATATCTGATGAACAAAGATTTTTTTTTTTATATACACTCCTGATCTGTGCGCCCATTAGACAAGCTCCAGCTGAAACTGCCTGCTTGTCATCTGCAATTGTTGGTCATGACTTTGTGTATCAGATGTAATTGTTCAGGTTCTGTTTTCTTAAATATGAGGAACAGTGCCTACTTTTATTAGATCTTTATTTCCTCTACGCTGGATGCTTGAAGAAATGAAGACTGGTTTTCAGTCTTGAGTTTATGTTGTTTTATTTCCGAGTCATTGCTGGTCCTGGTACTTCATCTTTTGATTAGACAGAAATGGGAAAAACAGTTTTTCTAAAGTTTTGGGCTGGCATACGTACTCTTCTGTTCATTTTACTGAAGTACAAGTTCCTTGCTAGATTCACTGACTAAATTAATTCACCATGTGGTTTTGTATTTTAATTTGTTGGTTTGGGGTTTGGGAGGGGGAAGGCTTGGCAATTGCTTTTGTAACTGCATAAATACTCCGGTCTGAAAAAGAGCGAAAAAGCTATAAAAACTGGTACTGTTTATAGTTTACTGATGTAGATAACAACTGCTAACCAGCTTATGCTGTGTGACTGTCTAAAAACTTGTTTTCTTGAGTGTTTTCAAATTACAGCTGTTGTAACATTGCACCAAGTAACACATCTGTTTTGGTTTTGTTCCCCCCACCTCCCTCCCCTGTAGCGATGGGAAGTATAGTTCTGAAGTACCACCCAGACCCTGAGTAAGTCGATGCATTGCTTTCCATTTACGCAGTTTTCTAAAAAACTTGGACAAGAATCTGTTTTCAGTCAGCAAAACCAGAAGGGGTGGTGTAGAGGCGCAGTGAGGTCAGCAGTGTGAGGCCAGTCAGCGTGCGGAGACCGTAGCAGGGGGAGAAGCTGTCTCGCCTGTCTGTTAACGCAGCTGTACGGCTCAGCTTTATAGAGGAGAGCTAGTAGTTCTGCTGGAGGTCCGCAGTATCCCTGCACATTTGTCTGTCTAGTTTTCCCTGTGAAGTCCAGCGTTTGGAATAGAAAAAGTTTAAACTCTTTCCTGTTCGTTTTTGTTGATAAGTAGTATCAGAAGCTCTTGAGCACTTTTTAAAAGTGAACTTTTCATCTTGCTGTTGCTTATATTAGTTTTGAAACCAGAGCCAGAAAATTAAGACGCCTGTTGTCGAAATTGAATAGCATGGAGCTTCCTTTTTTTTTTGCTTGTCGAGAAGCATACACCTGTTTAGATGTTGAAGCTAAACCCAACGTGCTTATGTCTCCTGCGAATAGTTATAACACACATTTGCTTTTGAAAATCATGCACTTACTTATCAGGCTGTGGCTATAAAATTAAGATTTGAAGATTAACTTTCTCCGTAGTTGACTGAACATAACTGTTTGTTTGCAGAAAACCTGACGATCTTCAGTGTCCTATAGTGCTCTGTGGTTGGCAAGGAAAGACATCGCTCCGTGCCTTTGTGCCCAAGAATGAGAGACTCCATTACCTGAGGATGATGGGAGTTGAAGTGTTTAAGGCAAAGAGGAAAGAGGAGGAGGAGAAGGAAGGTAAAACGGCAGAAGAAGTTCAATGTAGGCTGGCACAAACAGAGGAAGGAATGGATATAGAAGATAAAGACCAAGATTTAGTCACAAAAATGGAAGCAGAAATAGGTGAAGAATCTTCCCACAGTCCTGTGGAGAGCAGTGCTATGGAAGTAGAAAATAAAATAGAAGATTTGGATCAATCTATTAAAAATGACAGCAGTCACGTAAGCCAGGAAAGCAAAGACGCGGATGCGAGTACTGTGAAAGATTAGGTTTCTCTCTCTCTTACTTGGCAGCTTCCATGAGGCTCATGTCCAGACTTTTGCATGGAAGTATATTTTAAAAATTCGGTTGGAATGGTATGTTCCCCTTTTAAAAAGTTTCGCCTATTTTATTTTTTAAATGAAAACTATAAAGAGATTTCTCTTCAAGTGTGTCTTCTTTTTACCACTTTTAAGCTCCATATTACTAGTGGGTTTGTGTGTGTGTTCCTGGCAATGGACTGTGCACCAGGAGAATCCAAAAGCCCGTATTTGAAATGGAATAACTAGATGTACCAGTGAACTGCCTGTGTAACTGGTCAAGAATTCCTTCAGAACAAAAACAATGGGGTTTCATTCAAAGCACACAAGTTCGAGGAAAAAAATACGTTATCTCTTAACTTGGTTTACCCCACCTACCACCCCATCTGGTTACTACTTAGGTCCTTTAATGTGCAGGGGAGTCAGAGTGAGTACACATGCAAGGGCCTGTATGGGATATCTAACTAACACTTACTCGGAATAAAGCAGTGCACAGCATCCTGGGGGAAAAAAAAAACCAAAATGCAGAATCTGTTTTGCCAGGGACTGATGTCTGAGGTTGTTCTTCAGAGTGGTGAATTGCTAGACAGGCACAACTAACAAATGTCCTTAACTAGGTCTTCAGGTAGGCTGAGCACGCCTCAAACCCTTATCCTGAAATGTGCCTGCTTAAGAGTCTGTCCCTAAATCTGCTGCAGTTGTCCGTTTCTCTGTCCCTTCGTCAAGTGGGAGCACCTCTGATTTTTGCAGGTTACTTGTTTATAGCTGAAATAATAGTAAAAAAAGAAGTCTGGTGGAATACATTGTTGTATAGTAGATGTTTAAAATAGATTATTTGGGTCCAGAAGCGTAGTTTACTTAACTGATTAAGAAAAAGTTGGCTACCTCAGAAACTTATAATACAAATTCCATCTTTTGTGGCTTAGTTTCAGCAATACTCTTTGTAATTGTATCAAGTTGACCCGAAAGGAAAAGTGACCAGTGGTACAAGATACTGTCCTCCACTAGGACCATGGTGATGCAAACGTCCGTGTTGCTTGTCAAACTGAATTTTACCACGCGTAACGCGTCTTGGGTCCGTTTGCCGCGCCTTGCGACAGCAGACTTCCCGATGCCTGCCCTTGATCTACTTCATCAAGGGGAGTATTCTTGAGGGAGAGACATAAAAGTGAAATAATGCCATGTCCTCTGATAAGATATTAGTCTCATGCAGTGAAGAGCCATTGACGGGACTCATTTTCCTCTTGAGAGTCTGTAAAATAGGTTAATAAAAAATCGGTTCTTGCCCTTGTATTTTGTTAAGGTTTGAGTTTGTTCTTTGAATTGGGAGCTGCGGTTGGACAGGTTCTTTTTTAGCAGCTCCTAGGGCTGAAGAGCAGCAGAGCAGAATTTTATTTTGAATTGAGGTGTATGCAAAGTATATAATTTTTAATTCTTCAAGTATGTGAGGACAAAAATTACAGCACCTTGAAACTTCAGGGTTCAACGCTTGGTTTTTGCGGCTCTGCATTTCTTCCGACACACTGGGCATTTGACGTGGAAGAAGGGTAGAAGGGCGGCGTCATTTTTAAGTCCTCATCACCATCACAGTTTGCAACACTCGCCTCTGAGGATGACTGATTTTAATCCGTCTAATCTTCTTATGCTCTAATGATCTTCATGAATTAATTATCGGAAGGTCAAGTGTTTAACTTACGTGAAGAAAGCAGAATTTGGTTTGAATTACGCCTGCTGTTACCGTATCTGCTGATGTCCCTGAGCAGCAGTTTACTCTGCTAAGGGTACGCTTTTACGACAGGCTACCTGGTAGGAGAACTTGTTGCTACAGATGATCCAGACCACTGAATTTAACTGTAAAGAGAACAAACATCCCTGATTATGTTTTTGACTGAGCTTACCACTGGCAGACTAAAACATGAGTAAAAAGCTTTTACCTGACAGCTCAAGAAAAGTAGGTTCTTGGATCATAAACTGACTGAAATCGGGTATAACTTAGACTTCTAAAAGAATAAGAGCCCACATCTGCATCATTTTAAATCCTTTGAGTAGTCCCATTTTCCTGCATTATCTATGAAATTTGGCTTTGCTCTTGGCTTTTTGGAGGATTTTACTTCTTTCCTGTCAAGTGCAAATGGGAGATTTCAGCCAAGAAACTGGGAGTCTGATTCTCTTGTGCTGATCAGCAGTTTTACTCCATATCTCAAAAAACCCAAAGACTGCAGATTTTTATTTATTTTTTTTAATGCTGCAAGTTTGCTTACACCAGTTGCTGTCTCAGTTACTTTTGCCTTGATTGCCAGAAAGGAAGGTGCCCAAAACACTCGGTAAGGGCTGAAAGGGCTGTCCCAGCTTCCCAGGCTGGGAGCCCGATGAAACAGGGTGTGAGCTGTGTGCTACCACGGCTGTGATGGTCAGGTGGTGGGAATCTCTGCCTGCGGGGTTTTGAACGTGGGTTGCTGCAGATAATTTAAAAGGAAGGCAGAAGAACGTGACAGTTAAAAATTGCATGAAGTTCACTAATTACTGTCCATCCTTGCGAGCAGTCCCTGTTAAAGGTAGATTTCTCTAGTTAATATTGCTGGGTTTTGGACTCATAGAGTCATAGTCTGGTTTGGGTTGGAAGGGACCTTAAAGACCATCCAGTTCCAACCCCCCTGCCATGGGCAGGGACACCTTCCACAAGACCAGGTTGCTCAAAGCCTCATCCAGCCCGGCCTTGAAGACATCCAGGGATGGGGCATCCACAGCTTCTCTGGGCAACCTGTTCCAGTGCCTCACCACCCTCGCCGTGACGAACTTCTTCCTGATATCCAATCTAAACCTCCCCACTTTCAATTTAAACTCATTACCCCTTGTGCTGTCACTACAGGCCCTTGTAAAAAGTCCCCCCCAGCTTCCTTGTAGCCCCTTCAGGTACTGGAAGGTGCAATAAGGTCTCCCCGGAGCCTTCTCTTCTCCAGGCTGAACAAGCCCAACTCTCTCAGCCTGTCCCCATAGCAGAGGTGCTCCAGCCCTCTGAAATGCAGGACGGTAAATGTTTTCACTGGTGGCAGGGGGTTTTATATGTGATAGGGGGCACAGAAAATTTCCTGCATCTAAATGAATCGTCAGTTTATGCTTCTGCTTGGAGATGCCCTCAGGAGAAGTTGCTGGAGTCTTCAGTAAATAATCTGTTGACTAATAAACCTGGAAAGAAAAGGAGCGAAAACACCATGTGGGTGTAGGTTTTTCTTCAGATTTTACCTCGTTAGTCATTGGTTGGGACGTTTGTTAGAGTTTTCATACTTTTGCTATACCATAACCTAGTGCCATTGGGGGTGATTAATTTCTTTGTTAAATGTCCGAATCCTATTAAAAGTCAGCGAGACTTCCCAAGGTGTACAGACTCCTTGAAAAATTCCTGTCAACTTCAAACTTAGTCTTGGCAGTACAAATAAGCAATTCAGCTACCGTAACAACCCTTATCTGAGGCTGCAGTAAAGGGAAATCGGTACATGTCTCTCTTCCAGTGGGAAAACTCCAGGCCGGGAAATACGTGTCCATGTGCTTGTGCCATGTTGCTGCCATAGTTGAGTGGAGCAACCCGTCATGCCCCTCTCTCTGTCCGTGACAAAGCCTGTAAACAGTCCCCAGCAAAGCGGGATACATCAGCGGTTGTGTTATTCCCAACCAACGCCTGACGAAGTCGGCCGGCGCACTGATAGCGCCGCGTGTCTTTGTCGCCCCGCTTCGCAGCCGGCCTTCGGGACGGTCAGTCGGG